AAGAAACATAGAGAAAAGTATCTATTTTCGCTACACCTATCCCATGCAGCATAACCTGCCATGTGCCAGAGGGCACGTGGCACAGGGGTGGCACAGATACTCCCTGGGGACAAGTAGCAGCAACACAAGGTGTGCTGCTGTTTCTTGTCCCCAGGGAAACAAATGTCTATGCTTGCGTGGACACGGCCACAGAGTGAATAAACAAGAAAGATTCTGAAGCACAGACTGTGGCAAATGTCGTCCCTTTGGGAACAAACAGTGCATTGGAAAGGAAGATTCTTGAACAAGTGCAAAAAGCACAGCTGCAAAGGGAATACGTGACCGTATTTGCTTTTCCCTATGAAATAATGAAGAAAACAGCTTTCTGTTGCAACATTCTACCCTCCCAATTTGATACAGCATAGAAAATATGTGCCAAGGAAAAAGAGGCAAAAGATGAAATGCATACCAAGGAAAGGGCTTTTTCTGCCTCTAAGGTAGGGCATTGGTTTGCAGAATGCTTTAACTCCTGGATGCAAGCCTTGGAGGTTAGGGTTCAAAGTGGGCAGGAGCAAACAGTAGAGTTTCCTTGGCATTTTTTCTGTCAGGAAGGATCTAGAGTGCTAGCTGAGGTGAAACATTTTTTTCTTCTTCTTTCACTGTTTTCATAAAACAAGTGTGTGGGGGGAAGACACAAATGTTTTCTTTTTTTAACCAAGAATTGAATTTTAAAATTTAAAGCAGTAAAAAAGACAATTAATTAGACAGAAAAATTAATTTTCAGTTATCTAATTTTACAGGTCTGTGCACCCTGCTGTTTACCCCAACCTGCTTATATGCTTCTTCCCTCCCACTTCTTGTTATTTTAAGCGTGAAAGATTTATGATCCAATTCTTTTAAATGTCTTTTGGAGGGTATTTCAGGCTAATGTTCAGTAGTTCTGCTAGCTAACACTTTCAGTATTTATTCTAATTGGGATCAATTCTCCTGATTATTTCGGTGAATTATTATTAATATGCTTGGTTCATGAGCTGTGTCCTGCAGGTTTATTGTCCACTGAATTTTGGAGAGTTATCAAGAGTCACTGTTGATACCTATATCTAGAGAACTCATGGAGGCTCCGTAGCAGGGAATTATAGAAATTTTATTTGAAAAGAGCCCTGAGATTTGCTATTATGTGAGGCATAAATCTAAATAATGGGGGCCCAATTTTGTGAGGTCAAAATAAGATCTATAGCCTCATCTTTTCATGTACTCAAATACCTTTTAAAATCACATTGTGGGTGTTTAATTTTGTTGTTGGGGTGTAGGTTGTAGTCATGTTGGTCTAAGGACATAGGCAGCTTTGGGTACTTCCAATATCTTTTATTAGACCAGCTCAAATACTTGGAAAAATTCTTCTTAGCAAGCTTTCGGGCACAAACACCTATCATCCACTCCATCCAGGAAGAGCACAGAGCAGATACTTCCTCAGCTTGATGAATGGTGTTTGTCCCCAAAAGCTTGCTAAGAAGAATTTTTCCAACAATTTGAGTTGGCCTAATAAAAGATATCCGATTTACCCAAAGCTGCCTGATTTTGTTGTTTATGTTCAATTTCCTAGTCTGCAGGGTGTGAAAATATCTTTTCCAGGAGCATGTGTGGTCTTTTCCTGTGACTGTCTATACATTGTCAACTAGATTTTCATAAAAGCAACTCATCTGTGATACTGTAGAAAGCCTCATGTTGCTGTGGGAACCCCCAAAGTGACTCACTTAGCCAAAATGGAGTAGGTGCATTTGTAAGAGCTTTATAACTCTTTTGCAGGGTGTTTCATGCCATCCCCTCTACTGTTACAATGAGTGAGGCAAGAAGTATCAGGTCACCTCCTACCTAATGGGGTGTCTTATACCAGAGGCCTATACTATACACCTGTAGAGAGCAAAAGGAGTGGAAGTTTCTTGCTTAGCAGCACTGGAGCTGAAACTGTATCAGCTGCATTTTAAGTTATTTTTTTCCTAGCTTTTTGAAAGCTGGAAAGAGGAAATCATTCTGGTTTCTTTATCCTTTTGTCTTCTCATGAGCAATTCTAAAGATTCTTTTATTACTGATCAAAAAGTTGCGAGGCCCTGTTGTGCTGTCATTTGCCATATGATGTGTCAATGCTGTTACCCGGGGCCATGTATTCCTTCCACAGGTAATCGGTATGCGTGGTTCAATGCACTACAGCAAATAGTGAATCAAGAGACAATAGGACAACTCTGTGGGAAAGGCACAAACTACTCCCTATACGGATCTGCAGAGCTCCTCTGTATGCCAAAGAAATTGTTTGGTTCTGTTCCTCTTTCTCGTTCTTATGTTCCATGTGGATGCTTTCAAACTGAGGTGAGTAACAGCATATTATATTTAACTGGGATGATTATTAGCAGATTGAAGTTATGGAAATACTAATAAAATGATATGGAAGGGAGAGAGCTGCGATGTAATGAACACAGGAACTTGATATTCTGTGGGCAGCAACTACCTGTTGCTTCTGCTGTTAGTTTATTGTTGATAACAGTCTTATTCAAAACAACATGCCTCTTGCTGCGGCAGAGTTTTAGAGAAAGCTGGCAGGAGCAAATAATACTGACTGGATTTTGCCATTCTGGCTCCATGTGGGTAACAGTTGCATAGTGGTAATATGTAGGGATTGACCTTTACATAAATGAAAATTACACTAGAATGTTGATTGGTAAGAACTTTACTTCCATTAAGCCGTAGGAATTGCTTCTTGCTGTTTTGGGCAAAAAGGTTTCATGTAATTAGAGCTGTAATTAGAAATGCCAGCCCTAATTATCCGTTACCTACTTTGGTTTGAGGACTATAGAAAAATATTCATTTTTGACAGAAGTTTCCGCCCTCTAATTAGTAGTGAGAAGGTTTGGGCAGAAAACAGAGCCTAGTAATAGGAAAGCCAATTAAAAGAAGAAGGAAACAATTACTTC